GTTAGCCTGCCCGTAATGTCTCGATGTGTCTCAGTCTGTGTGTTTTATGATTGTGGTGCATCATGTGCTGTGTGACGAGCCTAGAGGCGTGAATTTCTGCCATATGCCCCCAGTCATGTATTTTCTTTCTCTGCATATGCCGTTTTATCTCGTCTGAGTTTGTCTTGCTTGGAGTGTCCCATGTGCAGCATGCTTGGTGTTTACTACTTGAGTAGTTCTGTTATACATGACTGTGATTTTATGTGAGTATCGAAGTTGGTATAGTTGAATTTTTCTCTCATGAAGTTTATCAAAATTTTGTTCAGGATTTTCTTTTATCTTCATTGATTGGTGCTTCACCCTTGGGTCATATGGATCCCGGTGCTGTGCTTCATGCCTCCTTTCAAGCTTTCTTTTTCTGCTTTGGGAGTGAATAAAGTCGTCATAATAATAATAATAATAATAATGCATTGCTCATGACAAGCAAGGTCCCGGGTTCGAGTCCTGGTGGGTCTAGCGTTTTTTTCTCTTTTCAGGCAGTTCCCTTCCCCTACTGTTCCTTTGAATTTGAAGTTCTCCCAATCCTTTCATAAATAATAATAATAATAATAATAATCAACGCAATAAATAGAGTAAGCTGCGCACTCAGTACAAACACCATAAGCAAAACTTGTTTTCATGTAAATAAAGAAGCTTGTTCCTAAACGTTTTCGTCGCCATCTCATCAGAGGATTACTGGCAAATCAACAATAGCTCTTAACTCAATATATATACGCACAATGCAAGTAATAAAATAGTGATTGTCGTTCTAGTTATACTGATGATTGCTTTTCTGTTTGGTCTCGTTCACGTAGTCAAAGGAATTTGCGTGTATTGGAGTCTATCTACATTTTTACCACCAAGGCGATTTCGTGTAGGCAGAAAAAGAATTTGTTTACGTTGAAATTGTTTGTGGATTTAGATCAGTAGTTCTCGTTTGTGGTTGCATGGTTACTTTCTAGTGGTGGATTTATCGCATCTGTTGTCACCTGATATCGTTGATTGATGTAATGTTTCTTTCAGCTCTCATTTTCTCGCGATAGTCAGGGTCTAAATTATTACTTGCATTGTGCGTATATATATTGAGTTAAGAGCTATTGTTGATTTGCCAGTAATCCTCTGATGAGATGGCGACGAAAACGTTTAGGAACAAGCTTCTTTATTTACATGAAAACATGTTTTGCTAATGGTGTTTGTACTGAGTGCGCAGCTTACTCTATTCATTGTGTTGATTACATTTTTATCTCCACAGAAGCTTTTTAATAATAATAATAATAATATTTCAAACAGTAGCTTGGAGACGGAGGGAAAACGGTTTCGTAATAAGTATTCGCATGCAACGACGCAAATCCAGACAATTCAGTAGACAATTCTTTTCTATCAAACGTTTTCTTTCCCTTCTCTTCAGGATAGTACAGGGAATGTTGGAAATTTGGAAAAACACATAACTATATAGAAAAATAGAGAACAAGTCAACACTTCAACAAAGGCGATAAAATGACTAAAGTGTTAACAAAAACTCGAAAACAATAGCAGCAAGTTGTAGACAAACACGTTGAACACATCAAGAAGCACTTGTCACACTTTCACGAGGTGTGACACCAAACAACTGCAACGATAACACATTCTCCTTCTGTACACATAGTTCTGGATCTAGTTTACGAATATACAGAGCTTCTAACACAGCAAGATGTAACTTTGACCTTCCACGAGAAAAGACATCATCACTATACAACTCACGACAGTTAGCACTTCCCGACAAATGACGCTTGATGGACGATGTCCGATCATTTAGCTCTGTCACCTTCGACGTTTGCCGTTGTTCTCTTCCGTTGGGCTTGTTGACGCCTCCAACGTTCTTTGAATTCATGGTCGCGTTCGTTTGACTCCTCGGTCTTCCTCGTTTCCTCCTGTTGATCGTTGTTGTCACTTCCAGTACCGACGTATTCAAATCTCCAGTACTTCGTCTCTTCACCTTGCTTCTGGTAACTCTTCCGGTGTCCGTGAGCTCCGGTGTCACAAAGGGCGGTTTTCGGGATGGTCTTCCTCGCTTCCTCACGCTAGTCTGAGATGGGTCAAGCTCCCTGCCCGTCGAGGCGGAGGCGCACATTATTTGAACAATTGTTCAAATTGCTGTTTGTCAGCGCATTCATGAGCCGAATTTGTGTGTCCAGAAAGATAGTGATATTACCCTAAAATTGTTCAAATAATGTTCTGTTGTGTAGTGTGGCAACGTTGTTGCCACTTGTGCCTAAATGTGTTTTGTCACCTTCTTGTTTATTATTGTTATTATTATCATTCGTTCTCACTTTTTTGTTTTTTGTTGCTGATACACACTTGTCACGCTTAGTTCTTACTTGTATACCCTTGTTTTCTGCACACTTTTGTGAGAAATCTCACCTCGATATTCCAGTGCTGTCATGGTATCGTGTCACCCTACCTTGATTGCTATATTATTTCCTTTGTTCTCATTTTGTTCTTTAGTACAACGGTGATTCCTGAAGAGTGTTGTACGAAAACTTGTTCGAATCAATAATAATAATAATGAGTTTGATTCCATCGTGAGTTTGATTCCATCGTGAGTTTTGATTCTATTTGCTATTTTTCGTTCCATTTTTGAGCTCATATTTTATTTTCCTGATTTCTTCTCCAGTGTATGTTGTATTGCATTTTAATACATTGTGTTAATTTTTGCCCGTAAAAGAGGCTTGCACTTCAAAAAAAGAGAAAAGATAATAATAATAATAATAATAATAATATTAGCACGTATTGCTTGTGTGCATCACGAGACCGACCGCCCGAATCCTAATCGCCGACTACATAAGATAAACTGCGAACAGTTTAATGTAGACCTTAGCAACAAGCTGAGCACGCTGCAGGCACAAGCAGATGTGGACACATTGGCAAACTGCCTATTCTCCGCTCTCCTCTCTACTCTGAATGACCATGCACCAGTAGAACACCGACAAAAAAAGGACACCCGTCCTTGTCCATGGCTAAATGCAGCACCAGTAGCCCGTTTGAGGGAACGGAGCTGGCTTCACCGCTTGTTGATGCGGGACAAACAAAATGAAGAGCTACGCAACCCACATAGAGCTGCAAGGGTTGCAGCAGGAAAGCTAGTTCATCAGCTCAGAAACGAGTTCTTCACTGCACAGTGCAACACCAGTGACCAGCGAAGACTTCGGTCAATCATGAATGCAGTTGCTGGTTGGAAGAAAGAGTCGTCTGAGCCACAGGCATCCATCACAGAACTAACTTCACTCTTTGATAGTATTGTCCATGACCCAGCTCGGACATTGAACCTTCAGCCACCCGCAGGGCCAGCATTGGAGACATCCCTATCCAATTTCCAGCCAGTTTCACTTGAAGATGCCTCTGTTCTTGCATTGAATCTCACCAGCATTATCAATTTGTCTCTTGGATCTTGACAGGTTCCGCCTACCTTCAAAGTGTCACATTTCAGTCCATTGTGTGGCAACCCAACCCTGCCCCAGAACTATCGTCCAGTGTCTCTCCACCCCATTATCTCCCGTAATCTGGAAACAATGGTTAAGAGACAGCTCACGGCCTATCTGGAGGCACATTCGACTGAGGATGCACTTGTGTTAGCTGTTAATCTATGGTCCACCGCTAGATGCAAACGAGAGTTCCCTGGGACAGTGTTCGTTGATATGTCGAAAGCCTTCGACTGCTCCCATTCTGACCCTGCTATGGTGTGCAGAACCCTCACGCAAGCCATGACAAACCTTGCTACCTGGCTGGAGGACATTGGCCTGCTCCTCAGCACTCCCAAGACACAGTTGCTCTTCATCCGGCCACGAGGCACGGCTGCAATACAACCGGAGGTCTTCTGCAATGGCGAGAAATTCTGTGTGACCCCTACAGCCCAGTACTTTGATTTAGTCCTGGATAATGATTTATACTGGGCTCCACATGTGGAGTATATTGGTCGCAAGACAGCGCGAACAATTGGTCAGCTCTGGAGGCATGGACGAGGACTGAGTTTGCTTGCCCGGCGAACATGGTTCCTGAGCATGATCCTTTCCCAGCTGTGTTATGGTTCAAACAGTTTCTTTCCAAGATCTAGCACACACCTGCTTGGTCCGTTTGAAAAGATGCTAAAGGCTGGCATCGGTGCCACCTTGCGACAGCAGCTCTTGCGGAGTCCAATCCTTCTTGATCAAGTCTCCAAACTCTCCAACAGAGGTCTACGGTCAACCCTCCAACAGCGTAATCTCGTGCCCACAGCCCCTCTACTATCCCTGCTGATGTCCCCAGCCTACTGCAACTGCTAAATTAAAGGTTTCTGGTCCTAGTTCATCGGTGCCTCCACCACAAAGCTAGCCCCCTGCTTTAGGAGATGTTCACAGGCACAGCTCCAGTTGGCGTCCCCAGCAACATCCGGGTAACTTGAGGGCAGCAGTCCAATCTGCTATGTGTGCATTTTCTCCGCAGTCCCTTCGGGCGGCGTTCAATCTGGTTCGTGGCAATTGTCCAGTGGAATGCTCTTCCCGTCAGCGTCAGAACTGAGGCTGGAAAGCGGACCTTCCAGGCTCTCACAAGCGCACTAGATCTAGAGGTGAATGCAGCGGAGCAGTAACTCAGTGAGCTCCTCTCACAGAGTGATCGATCTCTGTCTCTCTCTCTCCCCCCCCCCCCCCTCTCACTCTCCCTCCTCTCTCCCCCCCCCCCCTCTCTCTCTCTCTCTCTCTCTCTCTCTCTCACTCACTCTCTCCCCCACTCCCCCCCCTCTCTCTCTCTCACTCTCTGCCCCCTCTCCCCTCTCTCTCTTTTTCTTTCTCTCTCTCTCTGTCTATCTATCTATCTATCTATCTATCTATCTATCTATCTATCTCTCTATCTCTCTATATCTTTACCTCTCATTCTCTCTATCTCTCTCTCATTCTCTCTATCTCTCTCTCTCTCATTCTCTCTCTCTCTCTCTCTCTCTTTTCCAATACATGCCCACCATGACTTACAGGGTTTCTAATTTGGTTGTGGCTTTGAACAGCCCGTCAGGTAGGTCTACAAGTTGATTCCTCACGAAATATCTGGAAGAACAAAGTAGAAATTGGATAAGATGTACATTGTACGTCAAGTGTGTGGGTTACATTGAGATCTGCGTCTCACCCACCGGTGTAGATGAGAGAGAAAAAGAGAGAGAGAGATTGATAGAGAGAACGGTAGAGAGATGAGAGGGAGAGAGAGAGAAACATAGGGAGATGAGCAAATTAAGAAGATATATCTGGTTGATTTGATGTTGCACTACCGGGCTAATATGGGATTACAAGTACATTGATTTGTAACTAGTTGGATGAACATATCGCCTCACGCCGAGCCTTCCAGCTCTTACGACAGGCAACTATTGCCCAGAGCGAAAGGAGATCTCCCGGAGTCAGGAGTCTACCCTGCCCGGCTTTCTGCAGATCTTGATGCAGCACGTTGGGAAGAGTGACGCGTGGCCGGCCAAGCCATCTGGGGCTGTTGTTTGCGAAAATAATTCCATTTCCATTACTGCGGGGGTTGATGGTGGCAGCCGCAAGATGTGACCAAATAGACGCCACCTGGCACGGCGGATGAAGATGCTGATCTCCTCTATTTGGCACCTCTGGTACAGTGCTTCATTGGAGATGCGCTGTGGCCATTTGATGCCAAGGAGAGACCGCAACTGACGTCGGTGTAAGGCATCCAACTTCTGGAGAGCAAATTGCGTGAGGCCGCAAGTGCCACAGTGGTACGTGAGGACGGGTAGGACGAATGCCGAGTACAATCGCAGGCGCAGACGCTCACTCACAGCAGATCTCCGTTTCCAGAGGTTAAACATTGAAGTGAAGGCTGCTGAAGCAAGCTGCTTCCTCCGTGCTACGTCAGCCTCGTCGCCAAGACGAGATCCTAGTTTTCGGACCATTCTCCACCTCTCACCAATCCTTTCGTTGCTTCTGAGCACCCGAGTACGTTCCATTTTACTTGGGTTGACACTGAGTGACCAGCTGGCCCTCTCAATATCGACTGGAAATGTAATATCAGCAAACATCCAAATAATAGCTATGAAAAGTATGAATGCCGCAGACATCACCACCCAACATGACAATTTGTTTAAGAGAGCATGTCTGAGAAAACCAAAGTATGTGTGCAAGTGGATCTCTCCGATTTCGCTCAAAATTTGCAGGTAGGTTCCCTTTGGTGTGTGGATCGATTGTGCAAAGCCCTTGAAAAAGTTTCTGAAAGGAACCTTGAAATTTGTATACCCCTCAAAAATGGCCGAAATATCACATATATTATGGGTCTAGAAACAAGTCGAGCCATAGCGTATCCGAACAAACTGTGAACAAAACTCAATCAAGCCAACATTGCCTCACCTTAGAAGAGTTCCTGGAGCAGTACCGCTTAGCCACGCCAGGATCCCAGAAGACGACGTCCATCACCCCCTGTCTTCTGGGATCCTGGCGTGGCTAAGCGGTACTGCTCCAGGAACTCTTCTAAGGTGAGGCAATGTTGGCTTGATGGAGTTTTGTTCATAACTTGTTCGGATACGCTGTGGCGTGACTCGTTTCTAGACCCATTAATGATGTGATATTTCGGCCATTTTTGAGGGGTATGCAAATTTCAAGGTTCCCTTCAGAAACTTTTTCAAGGGCTTTGCACAATCGATCCACACACCAAAGGCCGCAAAGTGAAGCTCACCCTTCTTGCTCACTCCATAAAATACCAATATGCCCCACAACACATACGCTTGCTCAACACCCCCGCTCAAGTTACGGCCCAGTACAGCCTTCGACACGCACGCACTTGGCACCTCCCAGCCTACAGAACCGATCGCTGTAAAGACTCCCACTGTACAAGTCCCTAGAATACTACAATGCCCTCCCTGCTAGCATTCGTGACGTCTCCTCCCGACCTGCTTTCAAACAAGAAATCTGCTCACTGCTGATTAAGTCAATCTGCTCCTGCAGCGCTCACCCTCTCCCATACTTGTAAAATTCAAAGTGATGTAAATCACTTTCCAACTGTTCACCCCACAATCTCACCTTCTCATATATTTATTTCTTATTGGGGATGGTGCCATCGTGAGAATAAAGAATTCAAAAGGGAACCTACCTGCAAATTTTGAGCGAAATCGGCGAGATCGACTTGCACACATACTTTGGTATTCTCAGACATGCTCTCTTAAGTTTTCTATAATAGTTCAACTTTGTTTCAGTGTCCTTTAGTACAACGCCGATTCCTGATGAGTGTTGTACGAAAACTTGTTTAAATCCTAATATTTTCTCTACACTATTATTTTCCTATTTTTATCCTCCTGTTGAACGTGAATTAGAGCAACAGACAACGGGAACAGGTAGGTTTTTGTTTTGTTTTGTTTTACTAGAGCCACGTAAACCCGTCATGTGTGAGCCATGAATAAGGGGAGTGGTGGCGTGGTCTGGGATGCTCTGCCGACCCTGGGTCTCGGCTTCATCACAACCAGGCGCGCCAATACCAGAGAGAGAAAGAGAGGGAGAGAAAGAGAGAGAGAGAGAGAGATAGACGGAGAGAGAGAGAGAGAGACAGAGACAGAGACAGAGAGAGAGAGAGAGAGAGAGAGAGAGAAAGAGAGAGAGAGAGAGAGAGAGAGAGAGAGAGAGAGAGAGAGAGAGAGAGAAAAGAGAGAGAGAGAGGAAGAGAGAGAGAGAGAGAGAGAGAGAAGAGAGAGGAGAGAGAGAGGGAGAGGTTCGTAACGACCTTTATTAGAAACGGGACAAGAGACCAAGACGAATGAAACGACTACATGGTGCTTATTGAAGAGCTCGACTCAAGAGAGCGATTATTTAGTGAAGAGAGCTGAGAGGGAGATTTGAAGAGAGGCAACGCAATATATAGGGCCTGGGTAGCTATGGCAAACATGGACGCGCAAGTGGCTACCCAAGCCAAATGAATTATGCATTTATTTATTTATTTTATTTTTTTTATTTTATGTATTTATTTCACTCAACTCGTGGTTCATGACCAATTGGCACACAAAGTGCGAGAGAGGGTTGATAGCCAACCACGGCAAGAAAAAAGAAAGAAAGGAATATAGAAAAAGAGAAGAGAGAAGAAAGAAGGATAGACAAGAATCCATGAACCCAACACTTCTATTGCACATTGTCTCCACCGTTTTACATTGCAAACATTAAGTAGACAAAAAAATGATTCAGCTTCTGCACCTGTTCTGGGTCGGCCAGAACATGTTCTGCTTGCTCCGGCCTCGAGGCCGGAGTAGACCAAGCAGTTTCACTTTTTCACAGTGAATGGCGGGAACATCGATTTTGTTCCCAAATGATCACGTGCATACGCTTTTGGGTTGGACTCGTCGTACCGTACAAAGTGACCATGGTGATCCATACACATTTTGAAGAATGCACCAAGTTTGGCACATTTTTCCACAAAAATGTGCTCTGTTTCTGGAGTGGCGTTTGGTTGGCATGAGGCTGCTCCATGTGCACCAGCTGTTCGATCCTATTCTAGATCGTACCAACCAAACGCACCCTTATTGATTGCGGTTAAGGAATGAAGAGTAAAAGAAATAAAAATCTAATATACAAATAATGTAGGAAAATGGAAGTAGCAATAACGGCATGCAGGGTTAAAACGAGCAGAAAAGCGTTTTCAAATTTACAAGTTGGGGCATTGTAACATGATTCTATTGAGGCTCATCAGCAGGATACGAAAGCCATCTCATTCGTGTGGGGTGTGAAGGAGCCACGCTCGACTCCATTGACACGTTCACCGTAAGCACGCTTCTTTTTGCCTTCAAACCTTCGATAGAGGGATGGGAAGAACTTGGCACAATAGCTTGACGTGTGGGAATAAACTACCTTGTATCGAACAATTAAAAAACAGTTTTTTTGATATTTTTATTCGAAATGATGTGTGCAAACATTTCCTTCAGGACAATTCTCAGCCTGAGTGACTTTTACCGGAATGAAAGTGAAAGAAACCCCATGACAGTCACATCGCCGATGGTGGTTACAGCAAAGGGTTATATGTTCAAAGATCTTCCATGGTGTTGGTAATCACAACCGGCATATACAGCTGAGAAACCAGATTTGTGGCAAGCAACAACTTTGGCCACCCACAACATGCCTTTTGCGAAGAAGCCGCTCGTGGCTACCTCGAGTGGCCATGTTCTTCCTTAGCAGACGGATGGTCATTCGTAGCTGCCTACATACAACTGTATCTTATACAAGGCTGCTCTTGGTTCTGCACGGGTTTCGGTACAGGGTGGATGAAGAACCACTTTTGCGCTTACGTTCGTTGTGACCACCCCGTGATCGGCATCAGATACCGGTCATAAAGGGTGGGGAGGGGTACCTCAGATCAACCAACGAGATGCCAATAGGCATTTGCGGATAATGCTGGAAAAGGTGACAGATTCTGCTCGAAAAGCAGTGAAATTGGCAGACCCATACAAACCTTATGGCGGGCAATTCCTCGAATTCTGCTCCATTTCTTTATCCACATACCAAACACAAATGAAACTTACCAGAAATGGTACCGATTTCTGCCTATTTTTCTGCCGGCATTATCCGCGTATGCCTAGATGCCACATAACGAAATCCCATTCGCCACTTCCTAAAAGAACAGAACTAACGTTACCCCCAAAACACCGCCTTTTTACGATACATGCACAACATGACTTACAGGGATTCTAATTCGGTTGTCGCTTTGAACAGCCCGGCATGTAGGTGATCAAATTTATTACCCCAGAAATACCTGGGAGAACAAAGTAGATTTTTGATAGGATGTATATCACTTCCTGGAAAAATACTCTTTATACTGTGCTATATACATTGGCCACATCTCAAAATAACAGAACTACGCAAAAAATCTCTTTTCCGATACATGCACGCCATGACTTGGATAATAATTATTTTCATTGTACGTGAAGTGTGTGGGTAACAGTGAGGTCTGCGTCCCAACCACCGGTGTAGATTCACACAAAGTGTAAGGCACGAAGTCTAAAGAAAATATTGAACGGTCTCTGCCGGGATGACGACTACACCGTAGCTCATTGGTTAAAGCATCACTGGCTAAAAGCAAGGATCCCTGGTTCGAGTCCGGGTGGTGACAGTCAATTTTTCACTGTCCCCGGTTGTGTCTTTCCCTCAAATTAGTGAATTTTGTATAGCAGTAAAACAATAAATGTAAAAAAGAGAATTAAACGCATGAGAACGAGTTATGCAGCAACTTTCCACGATTGTAAATGGATGGTCAAAGGTCAGAAAGTGCGACAATAGGGCACAATACTGACAGGCTACTGAGAAATTCAGCGAAAAGAGACGTAGTTTCAACACATCTCCAGTGCGCAAACCGACAGCCTTCCAACTTAGAAGGTTCATGGGCACGTAGGACCGAAGAGGGAAGGTAAGCGCAGCGAAAATGTGCACAAGTTAAGTCCAGCGGCAAAAAAGAATGCCGACTGTTACAGGACGATGACGAGACCAGTTATTAGGTCATGATAATGTGGTCTGACTACGATTCGAAGCAGCAAAGCAACACACCACCCAAATTGGGTGGGTCAGCAATATCAGCAATATATCAGCAATATCGTTAGATATTGGCGTCCGGTTTTGTACAATTCGTTTTCGCCCTTCCTTTATCTCTGATATTGCTGACACACCCAAGTTGGGTGTGGTCATCTAGTCTCATCATCGTCCTGTAACAGTCGGCATACTTTCTTGCCGCGGGACTTAGCTTGTGCACATTTTCGCTGCGCTCACCTTCCCCTCTTCGGTCCTATGTAACCATGAACCTTCCAAGTTTGAAGGCTGTTGGTTTGCGCACTGGAGATGTGTTAGAGCTAGGTTTTCGGGTTGCTGAATGTATGTCTCAGTAGCCTGTTAGTTTTGTGCCCTATTATCGCATTTTCTGACCGTTTATAATTTTGTTACAGTCGTGGAAAGTTGCTGCATAACTCGTTCTCATGTGTTTCTTCTCTTTCTTACATTTATTACTGGCTCAGTATCTGAGTGTAAAACAATAAGTTATGATTTTAGATTATTTTTACTTTGAGTACTTGGATAGTGAGTCAATTTATTATTTATGGTAAAAGAGGAGAGGACAACATGTTACGAGTGATGATAAAGAGTCCACCAACGAAACCAGATCACACGAAGGCAGCGAGAGCGAAACAATGGCACAAAACTCACAAGGAGTACTGAGACATTCAGCAACCTAAAACTAGCTCGAACACTTCTCCAAGGCACAAGCCAACACACTTCCAACTTGAAAGGCTCATGTTCCGACATGTACCAAGAGGGTAGGAAAGCATATTTTCGCTGGATAGAATTACCCCACCATTCTTCAATTCAGTCATACTAACTTGTACACCCTTTGGAAACACCTCAACTTAAAAACCCATCTATGTGTTTACCGCTGCCTGCATGGACTTGCTAGTCTTCTTCTGGGAGATCGCTTTACTTCTGCTCTTGTTCTGCCCCCGCACCCCGACACCTGATATTGCTTCAGTGCGATCTCTTATTTACGCGTTGACAGATGTTAATTAAAGGTTGTGAGAGGGCCACAATCTCAAGGTTTGGAGACTCCACTGTAGCCAATACTTGAATCCATACATCCTGTACACACACCTTGTACACTCTCTCTCTAACGGTCTCTAGGCTACACTGCAATTGATATACATTAGATCAAATTTTCGGGCAAGGCCCATCATCAGGAATAAGTCTTTTTCCTGATGATGGAAATTTGATCTAATGTATATCAATTGCAGTGTAGCCTAGAGACCGATAGAGAGAGAGTGTGTGTACAAGGTGTGTGTACAGGATGTATGGAGAGGGCCACAAGTTATGAGAAATCAGAGGCTTTCCCACGTTTCTCTTCCAACAAATGCAGTGTACAATGCCTCGATCTTACTACGATAGACTTACTGGACACAGCGTTCACTTGCGCACCTTCACTAAAGGCAGTTCAATTTCGCCCCAATGCAGTCCACCAGCTTCTACCTTGTCTTGATGACTCAAAGGCGACTAGACCCGACGGCATTTCCGCTTCTGTCTTGAAGGAATGCGCCCGGGAACTTGTAAAGACACTATCTCAGCTCTTTGCTTCCAACAAAGAATCCAGCCACGGAATTCCACTTGGAAAAGTCTTCGACGAACGGGGTCAGATTCGAGTCGTAAAGGGTTGAGGAGGGTACATCAGATCAATCAACGAGATGCCAAATCCCGAAATCCCTTTGGCCACATCTCAAAAGAGAGAACTACGGAAAAAAATGTTTTTTTTTTCCAAAACATGCACACCACGACTTACATGACCTTTATTCTGGTTATGGCGTCGAACAGCCCGGCAGGTAGGTAATCCAATTGTACACGGCTCAAATATCTGGGAGAACAAAGTAGAACTTGGATAAGATTTTTATTATTATTATTATATTATATTTGAGGGATGACCCAGAGGCAGGTAGCCATTTGAGGGGTTCTCCACTGGTGCATTATTGTATAGGTAGCATAACCGGGGGGGGGGGGGGAGAATAAATTAGCCAGGCACATGGAATGAGACACTAAAACTTCAAAGGAAAGTGCGACGTGCAATTACTGTGAGTTGTAGGAATGCCAGTGGTTTTATGGGCATGCTCATGACGTAATTTCTTCTTAAATTCCTGCATGGAGTCTGCAGGGGTTATCTTTGGTGGTAGACAGTTCTAAAGTACAGAAATTCTAAACAGGAACATAGACTTTGATAACGATTCGTATTTAGGTGAAATGATTTGAGCCAGCGCAAGCGAAAAGGGACGTTATCCCGCTGCACGTGATTTTGAGAAAATTGCTCTTCAAGTGAATCATCTGATTTCCGGCTGTCACGTTCCGATCGAACTTGAAACTGTGCGTTTTTCTGTGGTTATGTGTGTGATACGTGATTTCTTTAGAGCAAATTCACTATGTCGATAGGAGAGTAAACATTCTACAGCTCCTGTAGAAGAAAACCCTGTCTTAATCGACCCACATACCACGCATTGGCGATCAAAAATCTATCTATCGAGAGCGCAACCTCCGCTGCATGTGCAGCATGCGCGAGTGTGAAAGGTAAATGAACTTGCTTTCAGCGCAGCTGCCTTCCTCCCTTCGCTTTCCCCTGAGTCATTGGGTTGGCGTAGCTACTCACCGTGAGCTACCATAAACGTTTCACCGTCAACGAAGCGCTGAAATCTCTCCTAGCCTGAGAGAAGATGAGGCTGAATTTTTTGGTCAGAGAAATATTATCAATACCTAAGAACACCAAATTAGTGTATATGACTGCTCCTTGCCAGACTTCGACTTCATATTGCATCCTGATGATGGCAATTTGCGGAAACGTTGAAAATGATTCTGTGAAATGAAATGAGTTGTGAATTTGCAGTGCCCAGGGAATGAGCATGAGTGCTCGCCAGTTCTCTTCAAGTTATGAAGATGCAGGATGCCTCACCGCTACTTCGATATATTTTTAGGTGCTTGAAGTCGCTCATATGTTGCTCAGACGAGTACGATCTGATTCTTCGTCAAGGTGAGACATGTCGCAGTCGATCCACGTCGGTCCCTTGGAGAACCGGCCACATTTGAGTATACTCAGAGAATGCGCCGATCAAGAAATTATTAGGAATTTGAAACGAACTTGTTACTTTGCTGAGCATACAAGAAAACTGAAAACTTTAGCAATTTTTGAAAATACCGATTTTGCGCCTGAAAATGGTAGGAATCCAGGCGGTTTTGGGTAGTCCTCAAAGGTTTAATACTCTTAAGCGTGCTACTTTCCTGGACATGAAAATCTGGTCGGTGTTCAAGCGACCCATGGGCGCTGGCCATGCAGCCGCGAGTACGTACACCGTGCACACATTCATTTCTGCGCTGCAGCGCAGAGCCGCTGGTCCATTTTTGGATTGTGAACGTGAACTATGGATTTGGCGTGAATTTTGGCACGTGTCAATGCATATTGCTGGAAGTGACTATACCCGTACCTGGTACTAGTGACCTTTCCACCATTGCAAGAAAACACACAGTACACCCAGCAGAAGAAGAAGAGAGAGGAAAAGAAACAGTTGTGTTATGATTGTTTTATTTGCAGTAGCTGGGAAGCTAAGCTAGTATCTGGTGTGACCACCATTATTTGTGATGACTTCCTGCGGACGGTTTGGCATGGATGTTGCGAAACTCGCCACATCGGCAGGCTGCAGCGCTCCCCAATCCAGATCCACGGCCTTTCGCAGCTCATCCGCAGTTTGGCAGTTGTGTGCTACCAGTCGTCTTTTCAGCAAGCTCCAAATGTTCTCGATCGGGTTAAGGGCTGGTGAACGAGCATGTTGAAACACAATGATCGGCATGCCGTTGTCGGGGATGTGCTGCTGCGCGTTAGGTGACACAGACACAGTGGCGAGGACCTGCACCCTCGCCGGATGCTGTGACTGCTCAGCAACAGGCACAGAATCGCGAGGAAACTAGAACATGATCCGACCGTCGGGGCCGGCAGCAAAACATGCTTCGTCGGCGGATACTGTCCTGTCAAAGGTGTGGCCTTGGTGGACGACAGCCAACACAAGACGGTGGGCCGGTGTGCCTCTTAGAGGACGACTTTCCTATGCGGACGCCCAAAGCGATGGGCTTCTGATAGGCGCCGTCTCAACTGCCTAGCACCTACTGATTCGCCTGCTGGACCAACATTAGCCAAATCGGTTGCTGCTTTCTCCCTGCTGGAATAGCGGTTGTTTTCAACAGACTGCTGGATGTGCTGAAGTTTGTCAGGGCCTAGTGTGGGCTGAGCGCCACTCCCCGCTTTCGTCTTCACTGTAACACCAGCCTCGACCTACTCGATAGTATTGTTTACCTGAACAATGCAACATAGGGAAATGCATATTTGAGTAAAATGTCGCTCTCATTCTGCTCGTATATCCATGGCTTTGATATTTTGCATGCTTACTGGGGTTTTCTTATTGCCTCAGTCCAGATCGGTAGAGCCACATGGCGACTCATCACCTCCACCAAACCCACTGCGAAGAAGAGAGTCCTGTTTGTTGGAAACTTGATGCATGCAATTACTGCAGACCAGCTGAAGGAGTTCATCGCAGCAAGAGCAGGTGAGGCTGACCACAACATCCAAGTGTTTGACATAAATATATTTTTTAATCCTCCACTGTGCGTATTGTTGCCAGTGCAATGGACGAATTGTTTCTCATCAACAAGCTCTTCTGGCCCAGGGCTGTGTACACAAGAGAGTAAAACTTCGTTAAGTACACCCAGTCTGATGCCCGTGGAGATCAACAACCAGCGCAGAGGGGAAACTTTGCGAAAACGAATTGTGCAAGGCGAACGCCAAAGTCCTACTGTACTCCTAATGCATGACATTGTGATAGACTAGTTGACTACAAAACAAGTTGTTTCACACGACGTACGTTTCGCCGTATGGTTCATGGCAGCTCATCAGGTGTGCAATTAGAAACTCGGATATTGCGCCATTAATAAATGTAGAAAGGACGAAGGACATATGGAAACGAGTTAAGAGTAACTCTCCACCACTGTAAATAGACACTAATTCGTTTTCGCAAAGCATCCCCCTTCTGTATTAATCTTCGATATTTCTCAGCCACCCAAGCTGAGTGGTGTGCTGCTTTGCTGCTTCGAATTGTAGTGAGACCGCTTTGTCAAATATCCTACTGGTCTCGTCATCGTCCAGTAACAAACGACACTCTTTGTTCCGTTGGGACTGTAGCTTGTGCTCATTTTCGTCGCACTTATCTTCCCCTCTTTGTCCTCTCCTTAACCTTGAACCTTCCGAGTTGGAATGCTACGGAGATGTGTTGAAGCTAGATGACAGGACGTCGAATGTCTCAGTACTCTGTCAGTTTTGTGCCTAGTTGTTGCACTTATAAATACAGCCTCTGTGCTACGCGTACGAGTCCACAATGGAGGAAACAGTTCCGCACGCAAATTGAGTAAATTACAGGTTATAGTTACGGGGAGGTTGGAATCCGCGAGCGGCAAAAAATAATAATATTTCATAATATTTCTACCCCAAACCTGCGCAGAAGGATGCTCAAAGGACTAGTTTTAAATTTAGGAATGAGCCACCTTAAAGGTTGCGAGAGGGCCGCAAGTTATGAAAACTCGGAGGCTCTCACGTTTCTCTTCCAGCAAATGCAGTGTACAAGGCCTCGAACTTACTACGATGGACTTACTGAACACAGCATTCACTGGCTCACCTGCACTAACGACAGTTCACTTTTGTCCCAGTGCAGTCCACCTGCTTCTACAGTCCATTCATCGGAAACTGGCCCGCTGGCTTTTGAAAGTCGGATTTGGGCTGAATTGAGGATCAAAAACCCACTTTAAATCTCAAAAATCTGGGTTTTGGATCTGCTTCTCCATACATTTTGCCATTGCATACCTGTCCTACTATTGTAAAACCTGGCGTAATTTCTATTTCCCTGTTCTTGGACTTTTCTGGCCTCAAATGTGGCAAGGATTAATTGCACGGGTCACACAATGCAGGATGTACTGTTGTTTTCACGATATGCACAACTATGTGAGAGAGACACCAAACAGTTAGGGTGCCAGTTTCCAATGAATGGACTGTAGCTCGTCTTGAGTTCCTCAAAGGTGACTGGACCCGACGGTGTTTCCGCTCCTGTCTTGAAGGAATGCGCTAGGGAACTTGTAAAGACGCTATCTCAGCTCTTTGCTTCCAACACGGAGTTCCACCTGGAAAAGTCTTCCACGACTAGCGTCATAAAGGGTGGGGGCGTGGGGGCGGTACATGAGATCAATCCCGAAATCCCATTTGGCACATCTCAAAAGAAGAGAACTACGCCAAAAATGCCGTTTTACGATACATGCACAACATGACTTACAGGTTTTCCAATTTGGTTGTGGCATTAAACAGTTCGGCTGGTAGGTGAACAAGTGGATTATCATCCAAATCTCTGGGGGAACAAAGTAGAATTTTGATAGGACGTATATCTCTTTCTGGAAGAATGTCTTATTACTCTATTTTGCGTGCTAGTTTGTAGGTGGAGTGTGTGGGTTACAGTTAGGGCTGCGTGCCACCCGCCTGTGTAGATTCACACAAAGTGTAAGTTACAAAGTGTGAAGAAAATGTAGAACTGTTTCTGATGGGATGACGACTACACCATAGCTCAGTGGTTACAGCATCACTGGTTACAAGCGAGGGTCACTGGATCGAGTCCTTGAGGTGGCAGTCAATTTTTTTCTTCACACTGTTCTCCTTTGTGTCTTACCCTCGAATTAGTGAACTCTTTATAAGCAGCTATATAAGCAGGGTGGCCAAGGACGTTTTGAGATAAGTCAACCGTAGCAGACACCAGAAACCAGATCTTGCGATACAAGAGCTATCACTCACGCAAAAAAGTATTCGTCTGAGTATCAACAACTTCACCAACCCAGCAGCCAAGGCCAATCTGAAAAGACAGCGAAATGACCTTCAACACACCATCAGAGACAAGTGTCGAGCCAATGCTGAGGCGCTTCTGGAGGCCAAAGCAGCAGAGCGTGTGAGAGGCTGAAGGACGGGGCATGCATGTTTAACCCCTTGAGCGCGGGGCTGTTTGTCACTGCACCACGTAAGAAAAATGGTCTTTTTTGAAAATTTTCAAACCTTGGCTATGTCAAGTCGTGAAATCTTTGGGAGCCACAACCACAGGCAGTAGTAGGTAGGACCCAGACCAGCACTCGACAACAAGAACAAAAGCGAAAATCGGCCAAGGCACGCCAGGCCGAGCGGCATACTCAGGTCGATTTTTGAGAAATTGCACCAATTGCGTGGTATGCGCGCGTAAAAAAGGAGAAAAAAAGAACTGTACTGATCGCTGTACATTGACAGCTGGGAACTGAACCCGGCACCTCTCGTACACAAGGCATAGACACTACCAATCGGCTAACAGACCTGAAGACTGAAGATACGGGCCGTTAGTTTGTATATAAACGCATGACGTACTAGTACGTCATCCGTGGGGCACTGTGTGGGTGTTATGACGTACTAGTACGTCATCCGCCCTCAAGGGGTTAAGGCTATGCACCTCATGAGACGACGGAAA